ATAATCTGCCAAACGGACAAGAAGCGTCTTATTTAGTGCAAATCCAGTTCAAAACTCTAGCTTTTCTGTCGATTTTGTGAGATTTCTCACAAATTTTGTTAAAGGTAAAATTTTGTGAGCTTCTCCTTTAAACCCTAGATGTTTCAATCTTTTTGTGTCGAGTAAAGTGAGGGGTCAATGTTAGGCAAATAGGCAAATACAGAGTTGTAATATGACACGACAAATTAATTCATTCATTGTTCCTTTTTTATTTAATATTTAATATTTAATTATTTTAACAAGAAGGGTACTTTAGACAATTTGTATGTTCTGTTACCATGTTTTGCAGTCTGTTAGTTTTAGGGGGATGCTCGTAATTATACAAAGAATGAGGGTTTTTTCGTAATTAGGCAATACTTCAGGGGGGTTTTAACTTATTGTACTAGTATATACTCAACCTGTGTTGAATCGGACAAAGTGAAATAATTGTTTCCAGTGGCGGTGCTACTAAGGGGCGGGGGCAGTTGACCCCCCAAGAAAAAAAGAAAAAAAAAATTAGCTATTTTGACATTATATTTTTTGACTATTACTTTTGGCCTCTAAAGGTTTTGTAAATATGTGTCTTAACCCTTAATATTTTTGTTTATTCTCCATAATTTTATATAAATTATAGATATATATATCATATTTAATATTAAAATATAAAATAAAATGGTTAAAACTTGTACTATTTTAAATAAAATTTATGAATATTTACTTATCGATTTTTTTTTTATATCAATGTCTCTAGAAAATAATATGAGACGGTGCCATGAATCCCATTAAGTGCAATATATTATTAGAATAATTTAGATTTTTTTAGATTTTCACACACACACACACACACACAATTATATATATATATATATATATATATATATATATATATATATATATATATGTGTGTGTGTGTGTGTGTGTGTGTGTGTGTGTGTGTGTAATTAAAAATTCGCAATATAAACCTATTTTTGCAATGTCTTGTCAACCTAAAAAAAAATTCAGGGCGCTGCCCCAAACCTCAAAATTTTAGTTAGCCCCCCCTACTTTTTAATCCTGGTTCCGCCCCTGATTGTTTCACCAATGTTTAATAGGGTAAATTACGAGCACCCCCCTGAAGTATTGCCTAATTACGAAAAAACCCTCATTCTTTGCATAATTACGTGCACCCCCCTAAAGTATTCGCCGTCTAACAAATACCCCCTCACAGAGTTAACTGTAACGGAATCAGAATGATTCCAGGGAATATCCTTTTTTAAAGACTAGAATACCCTTAGGGGTCTATACGTAAGGTTATAAAAAAAATGTAAATTATTTTTTATATTTTTTTTTAAATTCTCTTTTTTTTTCTTTTTTTTTCTTTTTTTTTAACTAGCCGTTTTTTGTTGTCAGAGGGGGTTCATTGTAAGGTTTTAAATTGTATGATTGTAAGAAAATCAGAAAATTGAATTTATGACC